CAAGACTGGAGCCTTATGTGGTGGTTTGAGTATGCGATAACCCCCCACGTGCTTCCCGTTTGCATCATGGGGGCGGCGACACATCCTCTGTGCAAGTGAGGGGTCCTTGCAGTTGGTAATTACCACTCGGGTCATAATAAGACCTTGTCCGGGGTCTTGGAGGCCGAACCCCTGACAGCTTAAGCACCCTTTTGGTCACCGTGGATTCTGTGAGGAAAACCGTTCCCGCCTATCCGTTGCAGACTCCTAATACAGAACAACGAACTGACTACACCTGGTAAATAAAAAGCCCCGGACTTGTCGGAGACCTGGCAAGAGCAGAAGGCAAATTGCCAAGGTGAAAGAAGACCCTTGGTCCCGGACGCCCGAACACCGATATGGGGATTCGGTGACGCGGCTTTGAAGACGCCGGTGAGTGAGGCTCACCATGGCTCATCTAGAGAAACATGAATTTCGTGGGTACCCGCAGACCGAGGAGCGCGAGCGAAAGAGTGATGAGCCGAGGGTCAGAACATCCATTTGCCCTCGGTCAGTCACTACCGAAGACTACCGAATGACAAGAGTATCCGCCAACCCTGTGTCCGGCCAGTACAGGTCCCAAGGGACGGATATCCAGACAGGGCTGGGGTATACAACCAGACAGGGAACGACAAGAGTCGCCCCAAAAAATCAGCTCAGGCGGCTTTTACGGCTTATCTTTTGCGAATCACGTCGTCTGGTCTCACACTGACGAGCGCTGAAGAAAGTCACGATGCGGAAATTTGACTCGTCCACACCACACGAAAATGGACCTTTTTTTTTTTTTTTTTTTTCCTTCTGTCGCGCTTACCGCGTAGTGGAGCTACAGAGAACCCAACTGAGACATTTGGAGAGACAGTGAACGACGTAAATAAATCTCGGGCAAGGTTGGTTTTGCCCAGAATGAGTCGGCTGAGGAGTTGATGGTGTTGTCGGGCAGTTCTGGTGACCAAGGAAGTTGGCGACGTTGCGGTGAAGGAAGGATGAGGTTGATGGTCTTGGGTCTGGTGTGTCTGGTGATAATGGCGCCTACGGACTTCTTCCGTGGCTCTCAGAATGGAAAATTGTCGCACACAGCATGGTCGTCGGGATTCGGTACCGCCTCCAACCCTCTTATCTCGAAAAAGGGGGGGTGGAAGTGGAGGGGCTAAATGGAATTTGGCAGACCAGCGCCCCCACACCACCGAGGGGCCCCCGCGGAGCTGCGAATGGGCTCGGAATTGTGTTCCATGGCGTCGTTAAGGACGGACTAGAAGGTCGGATTTCAAATGAGGTGCTTGTGCGACGGTCTTCGGACGGTCGCCCGCCTCTAGAACCGACACTTGCCAAAGTAAGTAACAATGCAAAAAAAGACACACGGATTCGATTTGGGCTTGGCCTGAAAGATGATAGCACCCGTTTAAATAATCTGATATGGCAAACTTCGGCATGCAGTACCTAGAGCAGAAGGAGAGTGGCAGCAACGAAGCAAGCATAGGTCAGTGTTTCCCCACCCCCGCGGGGCGGCCTCATCTCGCCGTGAGCTGAGGAAGTCGGGTCGCGGCGCCGTATCAGCTCGCGCGGGCTGTCTCGTTTACTGTGATACGGCCGACATAAGAGACAGTTCTTTGGTTGCACGAGAACCAACCGCAGGCTTGTACAAGGAGTAGGCTGGGCAGAGGATGGGTTAGATGAATCTAATTGGGCTCTCTGGAGATGCACTTAGACTTGTGGCCGCGCATATGCCGGGGCAATACAGAGAAGCATGCAATGACATTGGCCTTCATGGACACGCGACAACTGGCATGGACGATCCCGGAGACGAGCTGAGGCAAGAGTTTACTGATGTTCTCTTCTCAGCTGATGCTCGCAAGATGAGAGCGTGACTGGGTTCCCCGTGGAGATGGAGCGGGCGATTCTTGTTGGGCGAGGTCTCCCCCAGATTTCTTTTTGTCAATAAATGCAGGCTCCCGCGGGTCAAGCCAAGTCTCTACACACCCCCCCCAGGTCCCACGGGGTAAAATCTGGCGATGAGGAGAAGTCCGGATAGGATTGTGCCATAGGCGAAGATAACAGACGGCGTAATGTGTGACGAGGGTGGCCCTTTTGGTCTGCTAGCTTTTCGTTTCTTTTCCACCTCCATCCGTGTCTCTCTCATAGTCTGACTCCCCCGAACAGCTTTCTCCAGGGCTTGGCGGGCCAATCACAGTGGCGGACGATGGCACAAGCTTGATATTATTACGACTAAGCCACCACCTCCCTCGCCTCACCGCCCCGCGTCCGTCCACACACAATGGTTAAGTCAGGCTCAGGGTCGTGAGAGTACAACCGGGGACTGGGCTGGGGCTAATCTCGGCGGCCTGGGGAAAGGAAAGCGGGATGGCAGGCATGGAGGCAAGGTATTTTTTTTTTTATATTTTATTTCGGAGGTGCCCACGTTGCACCAGGGCCTCGTTCGATCTACCACAATGGACTTTGCCGGAAACAGGAGGCACGTGTCGGTAGTAGACCGAGAAGTGGCCCGAGTGGGAAATTTGAGTATGGGGAAGTGAAGTGAGGTAAAAAAGCGAGCGAAAAAAAAAAATAACAGCGACGAGTGGGAATAGCGGCGGCGATACGGATACGTTTTGGGTGGATAGGGCATTATTGCGAATGAGGCCGAGGAGAGACCACGGCCAGGCTAACGTGAGGCAGGCATTCCCACTTCATTACGCCAGACCAGACTAGAACGAGATCAGGAAAAAGTCTTTTTTTTTTTTCTTCCTTATTTTTTTCCGCCTCCTTCTGTGTCTCTCGTGGGGAGAAGGATCCCTACACGTAAGGCATGGAGAAATGGTGGAATAGTGCACATCCGGCTAACTGGAGACCTCTCTCATGATACACACAGGCTCAGCTGGATGGATACTGCTGGTTCATAGTCATACTGCATACGGCGGTATTCTGGAGACAGGAGCTGGAAGGCAATGCCTCCCTGCCACAATCAAACTACGCAATACAATTTGCGTCTTTGTAGCCATAGGGACTCCAAGCCAAGGTAACTCGGACATTACAGATACGATACTCTGACAAAAGATTGCATCCCGTTGCATAACAAGCAGCACAAGCGAAGCTAATGATTAGCACATCGCATCCAGTCGTTCCGCCCATAGTCAGAGGTTAGAGGAAGGGCAAAAAAAAAAAAAAAAAAAAAAAAAAAAGGTACCTTACATTGTGGCTCTCCTCCCTCGTCCCCCCGGCCTGTTGCAAAACCAGGGCGATATCTACGCCATTTCTCTCCCGCGTAGTCGACACTCAGGTACCCTGCCTCGAAAGGATACGTACCAGCGACCCCGGGCTGGCCACGTCTAAGGAGGATAAAAAAGATACGTAGCGATCCCTCCGGGAGAGCAGAGCACGTCCTCTTGGCTTTTGCAAGTGGAGAGGAAATAGTGGGGGATGTGAGTACCCCTTCTTGCACACGCCCCTCAGCTTCTCCGAGGCACACCCCCCTCTCTTCCCCTTTCATCCGCTCCAGAGAGTCAGTCGTTGCTGAGACACACCCCCCTTCCCCCCCATCCCACCCACATGTTCCTTGCTGTAGCCTCTGCCACAAAGCCTTGGCCTGGGGCATTCAGGAAGAATTCTCTCACATCCTCGCTGTACGCGCTCTTGGAGGGGCTCTTTCTTTCTCACACCCGGTCTTGATCTTTCACAGGCTGATGCTATTGCTACTGCCGCCGCCCACCCCTAAAACAAACCATCCCTACCGGTTACTGTGACTTGGCTGGCGCTCCAAACGGAAGGGAAACCGTCAACTGTTGCTCACTTGTCCACAATGTCTGTCTGTCTTGTCTCTGGGGTCTTGGGCCTGCTCAGATGCCTCAGCCTCCCAGCCTTGAGTCTGTCTCTGCTCTTGTCTCTGCCTGCGTTTGCTTCATTTGGGCACCATGACTGGATACTAAGCTGATGCCCACATGCTGATACTCATCAAGGAAGGTACCTTCCCGCTTTCTGTGCTGTGTGCTGTACTGGGCTTGCGCTGGCGCTGGAAATGGAACATGGGGGCAGCCATGGGGGTTCCGCACTCGCACCCGCACCGTCTCTCACATGTACCCTCCACTTTACATGTACCTCACACAAGTAACTCCGTCCTACATGCCCTCCGCTATCCCCATCCCCTTAGGTAACCAGCTGGGGGGGGGAAGCGTCAGTGGTGTCCCCAGAAGGCCCCAGAAGCACAAGCCAAAAAAAAAAAAATGCAGCCCTGGAGCAAGGCAAGGCGCGGAAAGCACAAGCACTGGACACACATACACACACACACACCAGTAAGCCCTGGAGAAACAGGGACGAGGACCCGACCAGCGCCAACCAGTCGTGCCAGCTAGTACCTTCACCCAGAGGCCAAGTGAGAAGAAACCGTCCACACACCCCCCTCCCTGGCCCTTCTTCCTTTCTCTTCCCTTCCCTACCGCTACTACCTACCGTGAGGTACCTTGGTTAGGTTCCTTTTCTCCCCTTCCACACATCCACACCCTCCCCCAGTCCTCTTCTTTTTTTTTTTTTCTTATCCCACCTCGCACTATTCTTCCTCTCACCCTCTTCTTGTCCATTTAAAACTACCACCCCGTCCTTTCCTCCCTCCCCGACTTTGCTCTGTTCCTTCTTTTGGAAAAAAATTGTTACGCCAAACTTTTGTCATCCCTCGCGGACCAGCAACTTTCCCCGGGACACCCCATACTGTTTCCCCAACGCCAAAACTCCAACAGCACATACACCCACCACCACCACCACTCAACTACCGACTTCGCCCAGCTTATATATCAGCCAGCACCACCCACCACCTCCCACCCATCAGTTCTCGACTTACTGCACCCACTCTTTACAACAAACACTACTCAACCAACTTGGGAACCGTCTTCTAACCAGTTGATTCGGTTTCTTGCTTGACTGCTCGATTGCCGGAAAAGGAAAAAGAATAAAAAGGGTCACACTGTTCCCAAGCCCAGCACCGCATATCTGGGCCAATGGGCGATCACATGCAACAGACACAACCGTCTCCTTTCAACTTTTCAAGTTTACTCAACCCCGATAAGAACGACAACATGATTTCAGGCGACGCCATGGAAACCACTCGTCTCGGACAGCTCAACGAGCTGAAGCCCAAGGGTCCTCTTCCCGGCCAGGCCGCCGAGAATCCCAATGAGCTGCCTCGTCCCTACAAGTGCCCTCTGTGCGATAAGGCCTTCCACCGCCTTGAGCATCAGACGAGACACATCCGTACTCACACTGGAGAGAAGCCTCACGCCTGCCAGTACCCTGGCTGCAGCAAGAAGTTTTCCCGCTCTGACGAGCTTACCCGCCACTCCAGAATTCACAGCAACCCTAACTCGAGGAGAGGCAAGAACCAGTACAACTCTGGTACTCAGTCGCACATGCCCCAGGATGGAATGATGGCTCCTCCCCCGGCTCCCAAGACGATTCGATCTGCGCCTACTTCGAGCCTCTCCTCACCCAATGTCTCGCCTCCTCATTCCTTCTCTCAGTACGTCTTGCCTGCCCACACGCTTGGTAGCCCTTACGGCCGCCAGCCTCAGGGCAGCAGCAACAACAACATGGATATCTCCATCCTGGCCAAGGCGGCCAACCAGGTCGAGCGCGAGACGCTCACCGCGCCTCCTTTCCACGGTCCCGCCGCCAGGCATCACCCTTACTACTCCCACAGCCTCCACAACTCGCGAGGCCACCTTCCTTCCCTTTCTGCCTACCACATGTCGAGATCGCACTCCAACGACGAGCACAACGATGACCACTACTCTGGCTCTCGTCATGCAAAGCGATCTCGGCCCAACTCGCCCAACTCCACGGCACCTTCTTCTCCCACCTTCTCTCACGACTCCCTGTCTCCCACTCCGGATCACACTCCTATTGCCACTCCTGCCCACTCCCCGAGACTTCGTCCCATGGGCTACGAGTTGCCTTCTCTGCGCAACCTCTCTCTGCAACATGCTGCTCCCCCGGCTCTGGCTCCTCTCGAGCCTCATCTGGAGACGCCTTACCTGCCGCCTCCTCCTGCCCCTACCAGCGCCGGCACTCCCCGCCCTAACGGTACTTCTCTGACGGACATCATCAGCCGGCCAGACGTTAGCAGGAAACTGCCTGTCCCCAAGATTGGTGTTCACCAACTCCTCGACGGCAACGATGGTTTCCAGAGCGGCAGGAGTTCTACCACCGGCAGCGTCGCCGGCGGTGACCTCATGGACCGGATGTAACGGGAACGGCTTTTGACAAAGTGGTATGACTTGACGACCTGGGCTATAGAAGGGATAGAAGAAAACGGCGTTTTCGGGAATTTCGAATTGAAAGGTGGCTGACCACGACTTCTTACTTAATTTACGAAACCAACCAACCTACCAACCTTACAACACTTACATTCAAGAAGCAATGGTCTTTCGTCTTTTACGGCGGCGACTGCACCTCGGACTTTTATAGAATTCCTCTCCTCGACGGATATACAACCTGAGACTGGATTCACGACTCCTCTCCCCCACAACGAAAAGCAAAGTTATTTTTTTGTGTCTACACTGTCTTTTATCTTTCATTTCCTTTTGGTTATCGATGGATGTGTGTGACTGTGTGTGTAAGGGGATGACGGCGACAGGTCCGTCTCCTCAAAACGTGTCATGGCCTGTTTGTATGCGCTTGCGCGGGGTTTTTCCTTTTTTCTTCCTTTTTCACAAAGATATCAACCTATAGACGGCGGGAAGCCAGGCGGAACTGGTTTATACGGGCTCGTAAAAAGAGCTTTCTATGGTATGGTGGGGCCAGCGCATATATGTTTTCTCGCGCTGTTGGGTGTTTTCTAAGATAGTGTCGCCGCCTAGGCTGGCTTGACCAAGTTTGTTACTTTTTTACCAAACCCATTCAGAATCAATTCCTCGATACTCGAGAGAATGCGAAAGAAAGATCCACTTCCACTCACAACGTGCTCGCCTTACAATGTGAACGTGACTTGAGTCTGCTTATCCCTCGTGGTCACACATATCCCGTGTGTGAGTTGATGGACGTTGGGGTGTGACAGGCCCAGCCCAACCCACCAGAAAACACCACCACCGATGATCGGACCTACCTCCTGGTGTGCTCTGAGGAGGCGCCCAGTAGCCAGCAACATCAGTACCAGCAAAAGGAAGAGGGAAGGAAGGAAGGAAGGGGGGGGGGGGGGGGGCCAGTGATGGGGGTGGGCTTGGCTGGGCGTTTTTTCCCACCCCCACACACCTGAAGCGGCACGTAATCTGCGCAGTTTCCGGGTTCTTGATTCTTTTCTCTCTGGCTCTCTTGCACTTTGTCACTGTCATCCAAGGGCTCTCTCTCTCTCTCTGTGTGTGTGTGCGTGACTGACTGACTGACCTAACTGACCTGACGGGCACCGGTCTATGTCGCAATCCTGCCCCCCTCCCACCCTCCCCTTCCCCTCCAAAGGTAGCGGGGGAAGGGGCTGCCAATGTACCTTGCGTAGTGTACTTACCCTTTTTTCCGCGGTTGGTAGGTGATTAAGTTAAGGCCATTTCCACCACTCTTTATTTATTTGTTTATCGTCATTTTTCTTTTGGCAGGTAAACTAGACTATTCGCTACATATCTACCGTAAGAATCAACAAACAATAACTTGGCATAGCAACTGTATCAGAGAAAGGAAGAGTGGTTAAAAGATAGAAAGAAAAAAGAAAAAAAAACATGGTCAGAGGCCACGTAGACGGGGTGATTCATCATGAAGGGAGAAAACTACAGACTGAGAAATTTCCCGGCATGGCGGTGACATATCGACCACCCACACCCCCCATCATCCCTTGGTGACAACGCACCAAAAAAAAAAAAAAAAAGAGAGCATCTCAAGTCTCTTATTCGCTGCTGGCTCATTAGCCCTTGGCGCTGCTAATTCTAGGATTTCGTCTCCATCATCTTGTTCTTTTTTTTTTTTTTTTTTTGTGACGGCCCTATCTTCCATTGGCATGACGAGGGAGACAACGGACAGACTGGGAAAAAAAAAAAAAAGAGGATGTGTCCTTGAAAATGCCACAATCTTTGTTCCTTCTTTTCTTTCCGTTTCTTTTCTTTCTACACCCCTTGCCGGTACAGTCTTGCATATTTTACCTGGCATGCCTGCCTGTCTGCCTGCCGACATTGTTACTTGCCTTCCTGCGGGTAACTTAGTCAAGACGTTTACCCCGGAGAGGTCCCCCCCTCAACTACGTAAACGGGCCACTTTGGCCGTCGTGGCCATCTCTGAGTCCCTAAACCGGGCAAGGGAGCCGACATACAAACGACATGATCTCCCGATTGGCGAAAAAGAAAGGGGGTGTGGCAGATGAAAAGGTGAGAGAGTCAGTTACCGCCTGTTGTCGCCCTGTCTTCCCCAAGATCACAAACTGCAAGAGAAGGGAAAGAGAGGGAAAAAAAAAAGGTCTGGAACGGGTGGCATTACGTATTGCTCTGGGGGATGATATCACATCTGGCCCCACTGTCCCTGGCACGAATACACTTGCATCATTCTCTCCCTCTATTTTTCATCTCCCGTGGGGAAAAAGACGAGAGTAGAGGGGAGGAAAAGTCGTCGAACCCCATAGGATCTTCGTAAGGGACCTCTCTAAGGGTAGAAGATTTTTTCCTCCATGGTCCCTGCCATAGTAGATCCAATGGACCTCTACGTCTACACCTGTTGTCTAGTTTAAGAACATCATCATACCGGAGCCCGCGGGTGTTTGACTATTCTCCTGTACGACCGGGCCGAGCAAAATGATGATAAGTCGGATTCCCCAGTTGTGGGTACCTAAGTCGTTGATGACTCAGAAGACGGGTTGTCAAGCTTCCCCGTGTTTTTTTTTCTGTTTTTGGTGGGGTGGTTTCTGGGGATGCCTATTGACTTTCTCCCTTTGCACCTTGGAGGGATGGTGGGCCTGCCCGGTAGTTGGGTGGCGTGACGCTGTTGGGTCGGGTCAGGAACGTGAGGCAAATGCAGCGTTACTCACCGGCTCATCGAGCGCTCTGTACAAGTTGGGAAATTTCTTGAAAACAGCCACTCAGTGCCAGTATGACGGAGTTTTTGCCCCTACGCTATTTCATCCCTTCTTCGGACGACGTCTCCGGTTTTGACTCTCCTCCAAAGGCCTTGGGGCTGAGTCGTTGAATTTCGGCCATCTTTTGTTGGATTCACAGGTGAATCAAGGCACATGTCGCGCGTGCTCGGTCTGTCGTCTCCTATTCCCTATCTCAGCTGCAGCGGAAGCGACGCGCGCGAGAACCACATCGCATGCTTTGGCCAGAACCTAACAGTGATGTTGCATTTACAGGAGACCAGTCACATGTGAGAGCGCCAGCAGTGGCTTGATATTCGGGTGCGGGCATGCCAGTCTAACTTCGTGATGAAGCCAGTGAGCTGCTTTACTACAGCTAGGCCCTCATATGGGAGATCTACAAGCCTGGTTTCGGACGTGGTGCAACGTTGGCGTGCAGTCACCGCAAAGTGTCCTCTGTTGGGCACCTTTACTAAAATTGAGCATAGTGCGAACCACAGGCGTGGTGGTGACGGTGGCAAGTGCGGGAGAGCCCTCTCCGTGGCTGATAGGAAGCCACTGGGGGAGCATGCCAACATAGCCTAGGCACTAGGAATGAGTGCTCCCTCTTCGACGCCTGTCTTCTGCTTTTGATACGGCTGCCTCGGCTTGCCTGAAAGTTGCGCCTGTCTTTCTCACCGAACTGCCCTTCCAATACGAAAAAGGCTGTGCGCGTAGAGGCTGCTTGCTTATGTGCTTCAGGGGACTCTCTCACCGCCAGACGCGACATGTCTGGCGCGTGGGAGGGTGTGGTAGTTGCAGAGTACTGTACTTTTTCCCTTAGTTGACGTGGTACGTATAATCTTGGAAAACGGGCGACGAGTGGTGACTTCTAAATACGATCACCAAAATCGTGGAGCGAGGGGGGTGGGGTGTGGGATTCAGGGAGTCTGGGGAGAGCGGCATGGCGTCGTTGGCATAGCTGGAAATGGTTCCGATTTGAAGAGGGTTTGAGATGAGCTGCTTTGCGAGACAGAGAAGGCGGGCAAGGCCGCGTTAGAGGATTGGGCATTGTTTATTGCTGTACGCTGGGGCGGCCAATGCCACCGGGGAATGACGGAAGACAAGCGGATGCGGGAGAGACGAGACGAGACATGACGCGGATATCCAGTTGCTGAGACAGCTCGGCCGATAGGTCATACCAGAGCCCTGGGAATAGTCTGAGTTGGCTGAGTTGTGATTTCTCCTACCTGCTAAATGACTTGCTTATTGAGGACCAGCCGCGCCTTTAGCAAATCAAGAAGTCCGTTTTTATGGTCAGGTAATGCCCGGTGTTGCGCTGTCGAAACCTCGTTTTCCCTTAGCTCTCACCCTTCCAAAGGAAAAAAAAAAAAAAAAACAGAACATCCACAGGGTTGAGACATAAATGTGGGCGCTTAAGACAAGATGGCACTGATACCCTTTCACTTGACCGTTCCGCCTGATCCCAATCCAGGGAATAGGGAAATGGTGTGATGCGCTAAAATGCTCCTCCGCTAGGCACATGTGCCAGTATCAAGAATGTTTAGACCAGCTGGATCGATCGGTAGACAAAGCTTGCTTCTCCCTTTCTTTCTGAGCCTGACAGAATTTCTGGCACGGGGAAGGGGCGTATTACGACATGGCGCAATTCCAGGGAGACAAACCCAAGTCAGGTTGACTGACGAAAGTGTGGGGGATTGATCGCCTGTTCTGGGGGTGAGGGACTCGATCAATTAGGCACGTAAGCAAATGGTACAGATAAGAAATGATACGCCGATCCCGTACTGATTACCGCCAAGCCCTGATACCCAAAGCAAGACTGGCTCCCTTTCTCACATGAAATGTTGTTTTGCTGGATATTTGTGATGCGCATGAAGCCATGGCACCACCTGCTCCGAAGCCGAAATCAGTGGCATATCGTTAAAAACTATTGCCGAGAATGTCTGTGGCCGATATAGTTGGCACCTTATCGTAACTCCGAAGGACATGTGCCTGGCTCCTGATCGCCGTCATCGGCCTAGCCATTTCTTCCACACCCTCTTCAGGCAAGTTGGCCAAGTTGGAGGTGTCAACGTTGTGTGAGCCCCCCACGAGCTGCCCCACGAATTTACCCCAGCATCATAAGTGCGTTTTGACGTCGTTTTATGGGGTTGTGGGGGAAAGGCGTGCTTTTATGCAACCTTGTTGGGACACCCGGAGCCT